TTTGAATACTTCACAAGTATTCCAGGATTCGGCCAAGTCCTCCGTAGAGGAGTGCGTCTCTGGTCGGTCGGGCTTCAACCAGGTATCGAATACGACTATGCTTCAGATGAGACACCTGTGGTCCGAAATGATCGCATTGAGATATTTCCTGTTGGCGGATTTATCTACATCACGGACGAAGTCTTCGAAGCGATGCCAAGATATGCGCTGTGTATCATCAAGCTCTTCTTGGCAAAAATCACGAAGCTCAAGGAACTCGCAGGTCCATCAGCTCATTGGCCAGAGATCGTCGAGAACAGCCTGCTCTGGCGTCTGTGTGTCCGTCCGGAACTGATGGAGCATCTTTTTGCCTACTGTGAAGATCAAGCAACCGAGCTCCAGGCTGGTGATGCTGATGTACAGAGGTTTGTCTACTACACTCGAAATAAAAGGATATATCACTAACTTCAACACAGTGCCGCGGAGCTCTACTCCCTCCTCACGAACCCCAACTACATCGAGCAAGACAGTCCCGACGCCCCCTTCAGCCTAAAAGCCGACAAACACCCAATCCTCTCCGAGCGCCGTGCGATCGCAGAATGCGAACCTGTCGACTACTTCAATACGCTCAAACGTAGCCAGCAAGCCGCCAATCTCAATATGATACGTTACTACGCTGGACTGCAAGTCGACATGCGCCGCGACTACCGCCACTTCTACGTCGTGCACACCGAGCCGACGGCGTCGTATGTGAAAGAATGGAAGCAGGAGATCCAGACTATTGCTGAAGTCATCACACCTGGGCGGTGTATCAAGGAATTCAAAAAGAGTGGGCAGGATAGCATGTTCAATTTCTTTGAGGACGTAATGGCAGGGGATGTGGGTGAGAAGGGAACGGACAAGGACGGTGACGCGACGCGCACGGGCTAGGAACCTACGCGCGATGCTAAACATGTTCCGGTAACGATTGAACAGTGGTGGAAGAGGGCTCAACATATTCTTTCACGGAAGTCGTGTTGGGCTGTATGAAGTCTGGTGTTTCTTACGAGACGAGGTCAAGTCACCTCCCCATGTCAGGCACGAGCTCACTATAGCATTTCCACTCCTTTTCCCGGTAATCTGATACCCTGCGATAGTAGTGAGCCATTCAGTATGTTTAATAAAAACAACCCATAACCTCGAAGAGATTTTTCAGTCACTACTCGGTCATCCAAAAATACAGTACATGGAGAAAACAAGCTGGGTATCATTCAACTGCTTGCAAACCTATCGTATATACATCTACTTCTTCTTCCCCTTCGTCTTATCCACGACATCAACCCAGTTCCTCTGCACGCCCCTCTTCTCCAACGCCTTCATAATAGCATCTTTCTGCGGCCCTTGCACCATAACCTCCATAACCGGTGCTTTGGGACTAGACCCCTGCAGTTTATCCACACTCGTACTACCGGCACACGTCTTGCGCAGCTCATCAGCAAGCGGCTGCGGCGAAATGTAATACGGCTCCAGTCCATGTACTTTCGTCACAGTCTTGTTGCCGCTGCGCGTCTCAAGGGTGATTTGGATCTTAGGTGGTGCACCGGCTTTGGGCTTCGCGTCAGAGATGTCGGCGTCGTTGCGGATTATGGCGTGGAAAGGGGAGGAGGCGGCGACCATGCGCTCGGCTAGGGCGTCGCGTGGCATGGCTCCTGAGGAGAGGGCGGCGTTGTCGGCGGCCGAGGAGCCTAGTAGCGCGTCTGCAAGCTGCGGGTTTATGCGGATGAGGCGCTTATTCTTGGGGTCGATTAGGTTCTCGGCTTCTATGTAGGCGATGAGGAGTTGCTTCAGCTCTGATGGGGTGTAGAGACCGCGGGGGTCGGCTTTGGAGGCGCTCAGAATCGGTGCGAGTTTCTCTTTGGGTCGGAGGACTGAGACGAGCTTGAGCTTTTGGCCTACGGAGGACTCGGCGGAGAGAGGTGCGGCTGGCTTGCCGTTTACGCTCGCTGCGGTTGGCGCATCTTTCTTCGGTAGCCGGTAGGGGACGAATGATTCGATCTGGCGGTCCTTGAAGTCGATGTCAAGGACTACGACCTCATTGCCGTCGCGGTCTTTGCACTTGAGAATTTGTTGCTTGTCCAGATACCGGACGAACTTTCTCAGGTTCTTCCAACTTGTCTTTTTGATTTGTAATGAGGCTGTTCGCGCAGGGGTATAGGTAGGGAGGAAGGGTAGGACGAGCGTGGACATGACATTTGTCTGCGAGATCGGGAAGTCGAGGCCGTAGGAGGGCTGGCCCTTGTTGTGATCCATGTGGTAGCGGACACCGTACAAGAAGGCATTCTTGAAGGCTTCGTCGATTTCTAAGTTTGTTAGCTAGTGGCCAGTGTAATTGAGGGTAGGAAGCATACCCTTGGTTGTAAGCTCTTTATCTTCAAGGACATCGATGAAGTCGTTGTTGGATGGCGCGTCTTCGCCTTGTACGCCCTGTGCTTTCTCCGCCTCTGACCGTTCTGTCGGGGTGGCATCGAGAGTGATACCACCTTCCTCATCATCTAGATCGACGGCTGCCGTGCGTTGAGCGAGACTGGCCTCCTCACCATTGTCGTCGTCCCAGCCCTGGAGGATATCTGGAGGCTCAGTGCCTGCCTTGCCTGTCGAACTCCAAGACCACAGTTCGTCGCCTGCCCAGTGAAACGTCGACACAGCCATACCCTTGGTGCCCTGGACTTTGCCCAACGCGCTTACATCGATGACGCACTCGCCAACCGCCATGGGTACTGTCGGCGCCTCGAGGCTTGCAATGGCAACGATTGCGCCTTTGGTCGCTTTCTTGGGGAAAGGCGGGCCTCGTTGCAGGCCAGGCGTCATCAGGTCGGCGCCACCCTGCATCTTCTCGACCACGACGAGTGGCGTATAGAGCAACGGGACTATTCGTGGGTTGTGCCAGAGAGTATAGACGGTAGGGTACATTTTGTCACCGACCTTCGCCCACAACACCCTCTGCTCCCCGCTGGTGCCCTCATGGCTGCCTACGTATATTGTCCCCGACACCTGCTTGAGGTCTGGCCCCGCGGTTGTGGTGAAGCGCGCGGACAGGGCATTCTCGGGGAGCAACGACTTGCGCAGTGCTGTGAGGCCGGCGGTTGAAGAAGCTGCCTTGTCTTCAGGATTCGCGTCGGCATCTACGGGAATGTCTATGCCAAAGTCGGCGATGATCTGGTCGGCAGTCCTGCGGCGGTCGCTCGACTTGAGGGGGGAGAGGGGCTTGATCTAAGGGGCGTTAGTCAGTGCAGCGTATGTGCGAGATTGCAACCTACAGTGGGTTTCTTTTTGAACATGTTGAACGCGTATGCTTCTGCAGCGGTTGTTGGATGTCGTGGGCGAGTCTGAAGCTCTGCGCGCTGGCCGCAAACAATGTTTGACGCGGCGATTCTCTATGACTTCAGCGGGGCAGCTAGCGCGTTTCCCCAGCCTTGCCATGCCCTTGCCATGTGCCTCGAACGGGAGCATCACTATGAGTCGAACATCCTCATGCTGACTACGCAGTACTACCTTTGCGACAGACTTCGCCATATGTGCCGCTTTGTTTCTTCATGTCCTCGCCCTGGTCCATGAAATGAAAGTCTGTGTTGATGATGCAGCCAATGTCCACGGATGGCCCACAGACCCGGTCGTCACTTTAGACTTCTGTCGCCAGCTAGGCAGTTGTAGCCGCCAATACAGCATTTGGGACCCGAAGCTACTTTTTCCATGGTTGGGCTTCTGATGACACCTGCGAAATCAACCACATCGCCTGGCGCGTGCTGGCCTCACCTGTCGATCCTGAAATCTAGAGGCTGTCTAGCCGGCAGTCGACCTTCTGCTGTACTTGGTAAGCCGGAAGGCGTCAGTGACGATAGCATGCAATGCCTCATTGTTTATAGACCATTGTCCCCTTTACGCCTGGTACTGCGTCAGCTGCATCGTCGGGACGCGTCTTCGCACCATAACAAGCTGTTCACAGCCTCCGGATAATCTCAGCTCACGTCGAGGACTCCATAGCCCTCCGTCGCAAGCTGAAGCGCAATGTTTTCCCTCTTGCGGTGGTGTACTGTCACGTTACAGAGCCGTCCTTTGCCTCATCTGAAACATTGTCCCATCTGAAACACACTCTCTGAGATACTGCCACACCGTCATCTACCATCTAGTCGCGCTGCTACCAAAGGTAGACAGCCTCGCACACGAAACACACACCAAAACCGCAAGGAGATGAACACCGTAGATAGACTTCGATCCCAGATTCCAGGACGCTGGCCCGGCCTGTTGGGTCCCATGTCGCTCACCCGCCGCAGCATCCATGCAGCTGGCAGCCCTCGACATCGACGGTAGCCGCTTCCGGTCAAGGCGTGCTGAACTTCAAATTTTAGCCGTCCAGGCACCAGAACGCATGCGGCCGTTGCACGGTACACTGTTCCGTGCTGACATTGACCGCATCGGCAACAGCTGGTTCTCGCGCAAAATGTGCGCATCCAATCCATGCCTCAGTATTCCATTGCGGCAGTCATGGTGCAAACACTGCAGACGTTCGTGGCGGCGGCGCGTCAGCGAAAGACTTGCCGGCCCGGCCAATGGCTCTAGGCCTCGGTGCAGAGTCGACAACGGCTGGCTTATTCACAGCTTCACCAAACACCTCTTGGCCCGCGTGGTCCCAATTGCCGACTGGGCGCCACCGCCATGATTCAATAACACTATGCCTCCCTTAGGCAAAGCACCATTACGCATGGACTCGGCCCCCGGAGCCTCCAGGATGACCATCGTCCGTAAATGTCATGGCGAGATGCGGAGAACTGACGCGCCACGAGAAACGCCCAGCTGCGCCCGTTCGTTCTTGTACTCATTCCCCGTCTTTCCTCATAAACCCATCGTTGTCGCTCCCACTCACGCCTGCCATGGTAAAAGTGTTGAGATCGAATTTGAAGCCTTTCGCGTTGTGACATCACAGCACGCTTCCTCGGCATCTGCCCCGGCTTTCCGAACCGACCTTCGAAAATTCTGCCAACACCATGAGTCCCATACCCGACATCGAGCGCAAATGGAATGAGGGTGAGGTCGTACCCAAGCCCAGCAACCCGGAGGAACTCATTCTGGAAGCATGGGCGCAAGGTTATCTCGTGGGTTCGCTCATCATTATGGCGTTCATCACGTTGGCAAACATGAGGCGCGGCGTCCTGTTGCACAAGGTTAGTAAGAACCCTCTTTAAGCAGTGACCACCGCTGACAACCATCTAGTTAATTCTCCTTGAAGTGAGTCCACATTTACATATCTGCTTACATCCATACTAATCAAGTCCAGCTCATCCTTGGTATCTGGCAAGGATTCTGGTTATTTTTTCCCAGCCCAGTCCACGCCTGGTGGCTCTCCGTCGCCGCCATCTTCCTGAACGCCTCCTGGTCTCTGCACAATGTCATTGCATGGATGAAGATCAAGCCTTTCCTCTCAAAACCTGTCAGCTATATCTTCATCGGCACCGTAGTGCTTGTTCAACCGTACTGGGTCGTGGAGATATACGCCAACTTCGCCTACTTTCATGGCGTCAACAAGTTATTCCTGCACACACGACCGTATGAGGCGCTATGCCGTGATCCCTGGTGGATCCTCACCACCATCTACCTTTTCTGGGTCATCAAGACGCAATACGAACTGAGCCTCAAGGAGATCGTACGCATTTCGCCGCGTTTTGGTATCATGTTGTTGTCCATGTTACTCAGCATAATCTTCATCGTCCTGGACATTTCTACAGTCACAGAGGCTATCAAACTCCCAGGAGCCACGGGCATCAACCCCTTCTGGAAGTTCGCATTCGTATTCAAGTGCCTGACGGATTCAGTCGTTCTCGACGATTTCAAGGTGGCACTCGACCGCCTACGAGCTTTCCGGATCAGTCGACTAGGCAGCTTCTCGGGCGACCCGAGCGACAGCCGGAGTCGGAACGACAACAACCTCGTCGCCACATGGGAAGAGATGGAGAGGGAAGCAAACGCGCTCCAGAATGTGCGCAGCCCAGACGGCGACTACATCCATCCCAGCAACTTCCCACTGAAGCCAAAACGTGCGCGAAGACCTCAAAAAGACTCTGTTATGTTCCCCAACCAGCCGGATTACCGGGACTCAAACGCTGGGCTGGATCCAGAAGATATCGTGCCCAGCATGTTGGGCGATGGCCCTACAGGAGCAGATGCACAACCCGTGCAGAAGAAACAACATCAGTTTATCGACGACATGGTCAACAGTAACAGCAGAGACATGGCTGCGGAGAAGGACTATGCCGAGGCGATGAGAGACATGCAGCGAGATAGTGTCTCAACACCCCGACGAACGAGCGAGTCTCCCCGTCGACCACCGCCGCCAGGCTGAGTGCACAATCGATTTTCGAACACTCAACACGATTCACAACGAACGATACATCAGTAATCACGAACGGGCAGGCGTTACTACGGTCGGCACATCTACGGACACATATACCCCTACCCCTGCGCTGCACGAGCACGCCTCATGCCCCACGCGCGATCTATCCTTGCACACCTCAGGGTGGTTGTGCGCAGCGGACAGGCATGGCCCCACGAGAAGCCCCATGGGTTTGGGGTAGTGATAGAAAGGAGCCTGGGGCTCGCTATTGCGGAATTGAGTTAATGACGAGCGGCATACTGGAACAAAAGGCGTTTTTGTACATGCTGACAGGCATCGGGCCGAGTCGGCCCTCATTTATATACCCATTTGCGATTTTCTCTTTGTTATGGATGTGGATATGCTGTTGCATATGTAGTAGGAATGTATACATACATTTACATAACTATACGTTTGGACGTCTTGTGAATATGTGATAGTGTGTTGACACGTTCTGTCTTATGTACGAGTGTGAGTTTGGATGCGGGGTTGTAAGCGCAGACGCAATAGCACGTGTATGTGACGGAAGAAAGGTGCTGCGGTATATCCAAGAGGTAGTACTACCATCGTCATATTCTATACTGTGGTCTCCGTCGGTGTGCATCCTTCTGGTGTCTTACTGCGCTCTACCCTTGCCGCTGACTCTTCTTCCGAGTAGAGACCTTTCTTCCACACGAGATGAGACTGTTCAATGTCCCGCACGAACTGATAATTATCACCCTGTTCCACTATAATCCATGGTTCGTTTTTTGCGTACACGTAACCAATCTCGTTGGTAGTCGCGTTCTTCGTGGCGAGATAGGGGCTCCAGTGCATATCTTCGACGAATTGCGGGACTTTTAAACCGATCTTCGTTCCACAGCAGTGTTCCAGAGCTGTGTCGGTATATTGGCCGGTAAGTCCACAAAATGCCGTTTTCACGACTTTTGGATAGCATTTGCCCCATTCAATCTTGATTCTTACTGCGAACCTGTCCTGCTTTTCGTTGGAGAAAATTATGTAGAACATGGTGCTGCGTGGCCCAAAGCAGACGAACATGGGTCTATCGAAATACCCGCCTTCCGCAACTGGTGGCCATGAGCTGTAGAACGAGTACCCATTCTCAGAAATCGACGTGAATCTAACTTCGTACTCAACAATTTTCGTATATTTCAGGGTCCGCGGCCTGGATTGAACACAAGATAGAAGCCTGTCCAAGATGGTGCTACTGGCAGTACTCCAGGTATCCACGCGATGATCAGAATCATGCACGATATATATCTGCTTGCTCATAATGTTCCAAGCTGTGCGTCGGGATAAGTTCGTGGTGTAGATGGGAACGGGTGGGCAACTGCTGACTCTCCTGAATAGGTTTCCACTCGAGATTTGCTGTAGAACAATGGCAATTCCCGTACGATTGTACGGCTCTTCTTCTATGATCCCTAACCAGGCCTTGCTTCCTGCATCGATGAGGATCATACGAAGCTCAATGTGCAAGCCACGCCCAGTGACAGTAGTGTGTGTTCTTGTCATTCGTTGTCTTAGATTTGCATCTCCCTTTGGATAACCAAGGAACTCTGTCGGTGATTTTGCAACATATGATTCATCGCGCGCATGAGAGCAGCGTTATCCCCAAAGAAGAGGACTAATATCATCGGAACTGCTCAGAATTGCCTCTTGGAGCCGGATGAAGGCTTTGTTCCCTTCTCCATACAACAGTGGCATATTGATGCCCAGCAGACCAAGCAGGCAATATGCCTCGTCCTCCACACGAGTAGTGCTTCGCCTCGCCATCCATGAGAATACACAAGCCGCCGCTAAAGGCAAAGGGGCGTTAAAACATTGATAACGATCGAAGATAGCTGTATCAATGGACGTAATTTCGCTGAGTAGGCCGAATAAGCTCTTCTTGCTCATGTCACTGGAGCTGTCCGTCATCTCGCTCATGTTACTGGCGCTGTCCGTCGTCTCGCTCATGTTACTGGAGCTGTTCGTGGAAAAAGAGATGGGCGTCCAATTAGTGTCGTAGAACTCGATTCGTCCAGGAGCAAGTAGTTCCTGTAGTGTCCAGCCTCTAGTAAACCATCGACTCTTTCGGAAGGCAGAATCTGGCTCGTAGACATCTAGCCCAGAATGTACATCCTGCAAGTAGGCATAGCACACCCTAGAGTTCTGGTACCAGCGGAACATAGAATTGATAGCCTCTGAAAGCTCCGCGCTACTTGTCTTATCGATGCAGCATGTGTCGACCCATACCCATGATAAGTCATCCTTGATCGCCTGCTGACAACATCCTTCTATCTTGGCGTAACCTTGCTTCTGCTGGTGCCCTTCTCTTGATAAGTCTTGTAGTGTGACCTCTTCTTTTCCCCAGGTATGCGAGAGGATTGCGTATGGAGGGATTGCGTTATCGAAGAACTCCTCCAGCTGCCGGGTGTTGACGTTAAGCAGGCGCATGGCTTAGATGTCGCCCCTACTCACACGGCTGAGATCGGCTTTGACATAACGTGTTTGTTTCGCGATCAAGATCGATCGTTGAATAAATGTATGGAAGCTGCTGTACAGCGACTACCTTTTCGGAATAAATCAGTGTTTGAAGCAGAGATATACACTCATGGAGATAGTTGAGGAGTGAAGGCTAGGAGACTCCAGGCTGGATTGTCAGCCTGAAGGAAAGCGCGCTTGCTGCTGCATGGAGGCTGAGCCGCAGCCACATACGTCGCGCATCTTCACTGCCCACGGACAGAATACAAGACCCTCATGCCGATGACTATCGGCGAGATGGAACCAGTATTCTGGGGACTTCTCTAAACGTGCGTCTATGAAATTCGTGGGTCGTAAACGTCGTAGCGGTTCCGGCTCGGTCAAATGCGCTGTACATGCTAGACACCTGCTGCCGAGAAGGCAGATTTTAACTTGCTGAGCTATACCGGCGATATGGTGAGTATCCTCAAGTAGGTCAAAGTTGCGAATTGAGGATGCGGATCTGCGCAGCTATCCACATGTTCCTAAGTGCGGAACATTCCGAGCCTCGGCTCGCGATTAGGAAGGGCACCTGAACCCTCGCGAAGGGGCAGGGCGGCGTATGCTGACGCTGACGCTGATTGTATAATAACGTGTCCATCCCTTGCTGTCGCTAATTAGATCGATAACCATCTTCTGGTATGGTCACAATGGCGCAGACGGCTAGCATCGTCGTTGCGGGCGCGTCAATGGCAGCACTCGTGTCGCAACCTACTATGAGAGGCAACCTGATGGCTACGCTGGCCAAATGGACTGGCTACAACGCGCCTGGCGGTCTATGGAGGATAGCTGCTATCCTTCTCGCGTTGGCGAACCTCAAGAATCTGCCATTTGTCTGGCATGTACGTATATGGCGGAGCGGCAAGACACGCGACTTCGAGCTGACGATATCCATAGCTACGTTTCATCCGCGCCTTGTTCTATCAACTGTATTTCCAACCGACCCCGATTCCTCCGCATGCGCTCTTCCAACCGATCATTACCTCTACGCGTACCACGTTCCTCGAGACAGACTATAACATGCATAAGTCCAACAGCACATACTTTAGCGACATGGACATATCCCGTACACATCTCTTCACCGCACTCATTCGCAACGGTATAAGAAAGAACAGTCGTCTAGGCGGTGCCAAGAAGAGCGCTGTAGCAGGAGCAATAGGTGCGACTGAGGGCACAAGGGGCAAGCATTACATTGCGCTAGGAGGGATAAGCTGTCTGTTCAAGAAGGAGATACTTCCGTACAAGAAGTACGAGATGTGGACAAGACTTCTGTGCTGGGACAAGAAGTGGTTCTATCTCGTCACACACATGGTCAAGCCTGGCGTGGCACAACCAGAGAGCTGGACACTGCAGCCCTGGAAGAAGTCCAAGCCAGCTAAGGACGTTGACACAGAGAAGCTCAAGGGTGCGATATATGCCACTGCGATTGCAAAGTATGTCGTCAAGCGAGGCAGGATCACGGTGCCACCGGAACATGTGCTGGTTGATGCCGATATGGTCCCCGCAAAGCCAGAAGGCTGGGTCTACCAAGAGGCTACAACTGAAGAACAAGGGCAGAATGAGGATGCCCTGCCCAAGGCTGTAGAGGCGAAGGATTGGAACTGGGACGTTATCGAGGCAGAGCGACTAAGAGGCTTGAAGGTGGCCGAGCACTTTGCGGCTATGGATGGCATGCATGACTTCTTCGATGGCGGCAAGGAGGGAATTTTGGGAGAGTTCGCGGATTTGCTGTACTGATTTGGGTTCGATGTGACTGGGCCTAGGACAGCTTGATACCCTAGATTTGGATCTTAGAACCGCGAGGCTACTGCATCGCTGGTCTTGTCTTGAATACAAACATTTAAAAATATCCTCTCGTGGGGTAATTATCTCACCCGCATTCACGAGGCACCTGGGCAGTGTCGCGGATAGCGGGCACTAGCGTCGCGCTAAGCCACTGGGACCTGCAGTGCCAGCCAACCTCGAGCGCTGCCTTTGACAATCACCGGTCACCACATGCAGTGGGAGCCGTATTCCGCTCTGGTTCAGCCTTGTGGCTTCCAGCTTTTGATCTCTCCATGCAACTAACCAAACCCACTGACCAGCAGAGCACAGGTCATCACACACATTCCACCCGACATATTGCTTCGACCTAGTACAAGCAGGCGCGATCGGGCTCACCCCAGCACCCACAGTACTCACATCCAGCCCACCATTGACGTCCGGACTCGGTCTCCTCATCCAACCGGTGCTTCAGCAGTCATGGCCGCGACATCGGGCGTCGCCGCACATGGAGGAGGCCCCGATATGATCTATATCGGAGAGCTTTACGAAAGCATATCGCGTAGTCCCCCAGGTATAGAAGCCAGGAAGCTGCTTATCGAACATTACATTGCAGTCGGTAATGAATGGCTGGAAGGTGCATTAGATGAGGCCAAGAAGCTCCAGGCTTTAGCTCCCACAGACCTAGACGTTGTGAGGTTCTTAAAGATTCTCGAAAAAGTACCAGAGCCTCCAGCGCCCGAGAAGAAGGCATTCAAGCCAATACACGCATCTTCTGCCCAGTCCGGAGGCGAACCCTTGAAGAACTTACCATTCACGGCGAAACCAACATCGAAACGTGGATCCAAGCGGTCGGACTTCATCTTAGGCGATTCAGTAGATGACCTAAACGACGAACAACGAAATCTGGTTACTGGGTATCGTGACATACGTGCCAAAGCAACACATGTGTTCGCGAATTTGCTGCGTCTACAGACCCTCCAGAAAAAAGCTGGCTTGCCCCAATCTAAGAACCTCGCTAAAGTTCATCTCATGGCGGATGGTAGTAACGGGGCCGTCTGCAGTGGAATGCGCCCACCAGCAAGTGCTCGTTCTGTGGCGCGAAACATCCGAGATAAACCAAAAGAGGCCACGAACCTAGTCATCGCAGATCTGGAAGCCATGATACAATGGGTGCGCGCGCCATATGGCACACCCTCGGGCGCAAGTATCGATACCATTCGCGATAATCTAGTCAAACGCAGAAGCGCCATCGATTCAACTCTCCCGGATGCGCTCAAATTTCATTGCGAGCTAGGTTTTATGCACGTCGAACATGAGCATCTGGAAAGGAATTACGTCAACGACGAAACCATGCTGGGGGATGAGATCAAGGACATCGCCAGAGAGGATTTTTATGTGACCGAGGACAACTATGCGTGGTCGATGGATGGTATGTAACTTCCATGCGCAGGCTACGATGAGACCCATACTAATTTTGTACCAACCTTAGAACTTGTTCAGGCTATCCAGGCAAATGGCGGTGTACTCCGCAATCCTCTTAGCAGAGAAATGTTTACTCCGAAAGATGTCAAAGGGATTCTCCTCCATCCAACAGGCAAGTCTCTCGCAGCTCTACGAGTTGAGCAGCACGAGATGTCCAAGGGCGTGCGGACGGAAACAATCGTACAAATGGAGAAGCTCTCAGCGATCTTGCTAGCAGATCAAAGTAGCGATACGCTCCCCAGTCGCAAGGCAGTAGACGAGTTCCTCCTATACGTTGCAACACGTAGGTCTTCCTTCGGCACAATGACGACCAACAAGCTAATATCTGAGCAGTACCAGATCTTGAGCAAAAAGCGATCGAAGGTCTCAAGTGTCCTGCCACAGACTCTCACACTGGACAGTCTTATGACTGGCCTATCGGTGAAGCAGTGAAGGATGCGAAAGGAAACCTTGTGTGTTTTCACAAGACAGGCGACTTCATTCGGCAAGCCGCTGCGCATCTGCGGAAGAATCGTGGTGTCGCTCCCGACACCGATGAAGGTAATTGTTCGATCATGTGATATCTTGTAGCAGCTTCATGGTCTCAAATCGGGACTCTCCATGCGTTTCGCATTAGCAGTCCATTGCGTTCTAGAGGTAACAATATCCACAAAAGATCGTCAGTGGTTGCAACAATGTCTGCTACCCTCAGGCACATTTGCGGCTGAATCAGGCTGGTTCCGGGCGCCGTAGTCACGAATCCTTAGATCACACAATCCTACAAGGCATTTTTATACGCCGATTGCTCGATCAACTTTGCCAGATAGCTTTCGTTGACCGTTCCTTACATTAGATTGCCATTTTCGTCGCCTCGCTTACCGCTGTCTCGTACCATGGTTAGCCTACACAGTCGCAGTCGCACTAGCCGTTTCGGGGGCCGGTGAATGTGCTTTCCGTATAAGCCACCCTGTTCAGCCTTGTGCGCAGCCCCAAAGTCTCAGTCTGCGCAGTAAAAGGCCACCCATCACATGTGAGCTATACCAGACTAGCCATGTATCTTTGCCGTAACATCCATTATGGGCCTCAAAGATTTGATGTTCCTCCTCCCTCGTCAGCCGACGGTCTATTGGCCACACCTCTTCGAACACTACCAACCCTATGCTACTCTGGGTCCCACTATCCTCGTGCGTTTCCAAGGAAAACGCGACTCTGGTACAAATTCCCATTGTACCAAATTCAAACCCTGCAATTTGCTCGAAAGTTCTCGTGCTTTGTTGCCGGTAACCGATACCCACGACTCTCTTAATACCGACCGTTCGTAACGCGACTCGAACTAGCCGTTCCATCTGTATCCATTTTATCATCTCACCCCTGGCGCAGGGTCATTCCTCATAAACGTATGACAAGCATGGCCACCGCCGTCATACCTCCTACTGCAGTCGAGCAGGATACCGGCAAACGCTCCCATATGTCATGGGCCAAAAGAGCCATACCGTTGAAGAGTACGACGATCTTCAAGAAGACCGATCACAGTCAAGAATGGCATGCGGAGGTGGAGGCCACTGCTGGGGCTCTACACCCCTCACACCGTCGATTTCCATGGGGCTTCATCCGCAATCACACCGATACCTATCTCAAGAAGAAAGGCAAGATCAGCCAAGAAGAGACGGATAGGAGGCTTTCGATGTTGGTTCAGACACACCCTGCAAGAGATGTCGCTATAGCTTCCGTAGCGCATGCTATGTCCATGGAGAGCTTGAGCCAATTACTACGAGCTGAAACGAATGTTATGTGTGGAAGCTATTGGGGCCTCGACACTTGGCTACAGAGCGTCATAGCTGCGCATGAAGGCAATCCTGCTTTGGTTACACGTCTGCAAGCAGAATGGGCACGCACACTCTTACCCTATGCGACCACCGGCGCCAGTGCAGCCGGCTGCTATCTGAAGGGCGTAAAGCGAGCCTTGACGAACCACAAAACCCGTAATACGGACGTCGATCTTCACAACTTCGCGGTGCTCTTACGACGAGCTATAAAAGATTATGCGGAGCAGCTGAATGGTTTCCGGTTAACATGTAATTGGGTAGCAGCTAGGAAAGCAGTAGACTGGATGATGGAACTGGACGTGTCGTCGTCTTCGGATTCACCTTTCACCAACATAGAAACTGTCTTCGATCGCCACCACTTCCCGGCCTGGAGAATGTGGGCCTCTTGGAGACCGGATTTTGATCGTATCACGCGTTTCTCTAGGATAGACACCATTCATATGTCGACTATCCTCGACGTCGCAGCTCTGGAAGGACCTGATATGATCACAGGTACTAAGCATACCTTACGTCAGGGTTTGATGGCGGGCTATGGCGAACACAGGAACTGGGTACACTACCGCGGCCTGATCATCGAGGTCCCTGAGCACACAAAAGCATGTTTATCGACCAGCCTAGAAAGACTCGTGGTAAGGTTGGACGCTGTCTCCACTTCGCTGCCCCAGGGCGAAAGCCTCTTCAATCTGTTTCGAGCATTGACCATCGGCGGAACAATTACGAAGAGCAGCTTGGATCTTTTCGACGCTTCGTTAGAGATTGCATGCACACCGGAGAAAGACAATCATGCTTTCATTCGCGAGCTATGGTCCGAGAAGGAGCAAATCGGCGGACTCCATGTCCACGCTCTTCAACAACTCCTCCATCTCCTCGACGCACCAAAAGCGACGGTTTTTCGCGAGCTTTTCCTCCAAGATTGGCTATTCGAGGGGATTGGAGGGTGCTTTCGCGAGTGCCAATCTGTCGTAAAGAATCAGATGAAGACTTCGGCTTGGTTACGCCTTCTACTTGAGCTACACACATTTTGCATGGCCGTGAAAGCATCCGAACATATATTCCCGCGACTGAAGCCTGCTGTCCGAGCGAATATCGGCGCATGGCCCAGCTCTAAACGGATGACATCGATCAAGGAGATATACGTCGCCGCCCAAAATCTACATCAAAACGAATTGCAGACAAGGCACACGTTCGTCTGGTTCAATCCTGATACCTCGACGGAATCCCTCTTATTCGCATCCGATGCGAAAGATCAAAAATCACGGCACGCACTTGAAAAGATCATCGAGAAACACTGTGTCGACCACCTGCTTACTGCCGAAGTATCTTGCGACAATACCGAGCAAATTTTGCGTGATATCCTTGAAGTCTGGGAGAACACCGGAGAAAGTGTGGATGATGTCGACCGGCGCATGCTAGCTATAATGGTTTCAAGAGATATCGACAATCCTTCTGGACACAAGTGCGAATGTATCTATGAGCTCGCAGTAGATCTCAGCTTGGGGCGATCTTCTTCTTTTGTCCGAGACATAGTGCGTATCGTTCGTGTGCAGGAGACGGACTCACGGCAAGCCATCATGGCTTTGACGAACACCCTGGCAGCACGGGAAGGTTGCAAAACATGTTGGAGAGGGGTCTTACTAAGATGGCTGAACCAAAGTGAGAAGCAAGAAGCGCGATGGGGCACTGCCATCATCGACCACTTGATCCAAACTATGGATCCTGCGACATGGCTCTCCTTCATGCAATCACTGAAGACGATCTTCGCCGACATCATTGCCGATAACACCAACAAACACGAGTTACCGTCTCTACTGCAGCCCCAGATTTTGACTTGGGTATCACAACTATCAAAGTTCGGGCCCACCTTAACGAAGCTCGAAGAAGTATCCGACAGTTCATTCGCAGTACGTCAAATGTTATCTTATGGTACCGAACCACAAAGGAAACGGAACCTGGCCATGCTTTCACATCTCCAAAAAGCGGAAGGGAATTCAGCCGAGAGAATTATGCAAAACATTGTCATATGGGTATGCGGTCGAATATCAGATATGCGCGAGGTCATTGAGTATTTATCTAGACTACTAGACGCACCGTATGAGGCTATAGAAGCTTGCAACGAGATTTGGGATGCGAGATGTGGATTTCTGGACATACCTGGTCTTCCCACTCACGAGCAAGCTGGTCTTTCTCGGATCGTCTCGAGAGATGTTGTCTACTATGACGGCGCGTCCAAACAGTACAAGATCATGACGCAACCAGACTCATTGACGCCAAAGAAGAAGAAATCCCTTCAAACAATTGCCAAGCGAAGATACGACATCCCACTAGCTGTGGCTGAGGTCATGGTTGCTGGTTGGATCCAAGACGACGACGTAGCACTAGAGACGAAAACGGTTATCGAACGCCTCGCTCAGCTACTCGACTTGAAAGTATACAAGCAGAATATCCCTAAGAGCGAGCTCTCCAAAGCAACAATATTCTGGGATGGCATCGAAGCAGAGATCATGCGAGAAGCCGAACGCCTCGAAGGGCTAAAGCGAACACTGAAAGCGAAAGACCCCTTGCAGACAGCCTTGCTGATCGAGGAGTACAATATACCCGATAGCAATCTGCTGGAAGATGAGATACAAGAACTGCCTCCCGGCATCATCGATCTAGTTGAACTAATCGATGATGACGAGATTGAGATGAGCTTCACACTCGCTTCCTACACTGAGCTACAACGAAGCGCAATGGGCGTACCGAGCACAGCGAACAACCTTCTCTTACGGCTAACCATCGATCGGTATGGGAGTAAGCCACCCGCGTTCTGTGTGCACTACGACAGTGACAAGGGTATAGAGACTGATCAACATTTCCCGTGGATCTGTGTTGCAACTTCCAATGCACCACACGGTAATGTGTGTTTCTCGAAGCAAACTGTCTTCGTATGGCAGATGAACAGGCATATCCATCGGTACCTTCGCGCGGGGAACGTATCGTTAAGAGGGCTGTACGGCCTCGTCCAGACCATGATCGGAGAAATGGGGCAAAGATGCATCTCCTGCGGCTGCCGCCACAAAGGGAAGAACACGCAACTGCGGAGATCTACACCATGTTGGACTGTCGCATGTCAACTGCTATGGTAAGCCATCACCGAACAGAAAGCGTCAATATTACAATCACTAACCACCTCCAATACAGGTACGCCCTCCCCCTCGACGTCCGCATCCCCGAAATCCGCACCGATATCTTCGCTGTAGACATGCTGCTCAGCTCCGTCTATAGCGCCGCCATGGCCAACAAAGCCGAGCTCCTCCCCAACTGTCCCATCCACCCTATCAGCACCGTCAAAACCATACTCGATAGTCTCCCCAAACTGTCCGTCATCCGCGACGCAGTCCACATCTCCACTGTCCTATCCAGATACCACGCCGACGCTGAGAAGCTCATCTCATGGGCATGTACGCACTATAGAGGCTATATAGCTACAGCGAACGGTCTATGTAGGATCAAGAATCTGCCTATGGGGACGCATCATTTTGTCCTGGCGAATGCGAGTCCGGCACTGGAAACGGCATATATGGCAAAATTTCCGAGGCCTTCTACGCAGACTACAGTACTATTTCACGGTACATCACTCGACCGCCTCCCAGCAATCCTCGCTAAAGGCCTTATCGTTTGCTCGGGTACGACTCTCCAACGCACGGGCGCTGTGTATGGAAGAGGTATTTATATGGCTGAAGATCCTGCGACGTCGTTTAGTTATGCGCCTGTCTACTCGACGTGGAAGAACAGTGCGCTGGCCAATATGCGTGTTATCCTTGGGTGCGAGGTCGTTGGGCAGGGTAACAGCGTTACCACCGGTGTTCATGTTATTACTGATGAGGCGAGTGTGATGGTGAGGTATATTTTTCTCTTCCGACAGAACGCTCATGCGCCTGTTGCGAATCATGTTGTTACGGCTATGAAGAGTGCGATGGCGGCGATGAGGACGGGTGTCGTGTAGTAGAGGTGGCGATGCGGTAAATTGGTGCAACGTATATTTTGCTTCGAGTGACAGCATGTCATTGAACCATAATAATAACGTTCGTCTTTCGGGCGGACTTCGTTTTGACGTGGCGGTATTGCCACGCCGTTGTGAACCTTTTCTGCGTTGAATAAGGATGCACCCGGTAGCTGCTGACAGGAACGTAAACTTCAGCCCTATCTATTTTAACCCTGCCCAGCGATGTCGGGCTTCTTGGAAAAGTCGGCAATCCAATTTTCACGGCTTGTTCAACCATTTCCGATCTTTTGACCGCGTGTTGGACAAATTTGGTGGTGTGGTGAATTAATGTTCTGTTTGCTGATGCAAAATAAATTGTGGTTCTAGCGAGGCGACGAACAGCACCACCTGCCCCATCAACATGCCCCCCCACGACGCGGATGACACGGCATATTCACATCAGAAAATTCAGATTCAACATCTACCTGGTGCCCTTTTCCACGGGTATCAGAGAAAATACGAACTATGTTGTGCGCTGGTCGCTACAAGGTATGGCATAGCATAGCACAACACAATACAGCGTATCTGAATATCACCGATAACTCTAAGAGACACATTACATCATTACATTGCAATATGAAGATTTCTGTCATTCAGCATCCGATCTGTAAGAGGTGGATTAGGTGCAGCGGGTATGCTTGGCAGCCATAGCGGATAAGACGGCACAATGCTTGTGATTGACACATGGTCTTGTACCAGAAGCCACATTCATGGCAGAGCCAAGTCGAAACCCCCATATTTCCATGCAATCCTTTACTGAAGTCAGCAAGTACTCAATAGTCTGATGTTAAGCCAAGTTTGTCAGTGACAACACAGCATCCTACAGTGAAGGATTATAGACTTGGCGCAAATAAGACCTAACGCACGCAAGAATATAAAGAGATATGAAGTAGAGTAGCGCAAAGTAACACATGATGTAGTCTAATTAAGAAAAGTAACAAGACAAAGTGGCCAAGAAGTTGCACAGACAGGAGATGTATGCTGTGTGGTACACGGTCTCCGCCGAGGCTGGTGTGTCCGCACAGAGCTACTTGGCAGCGGAGGACAAAGACATATAATCTGCTGACACACTGTTGGGAGAGGAGAAGGAACACATGTACTACTGAACGCTTGGCTTCCCCACGGAGGTGGACTGTGTATACTCTGGGGTAACTGCACTACTGGTCACGGAGTTCTGCTGGTGATGGCTCGCGCTGACACCAAGACGACGTCGAGGTGGCCACTACAATGAATTGTAAAAGATGGTAGCCGGAATGAACGGTTGTGTGTGTTCATCAAGAACGATATTGAGGTTGAGCTGCATCATATCCTGGAAAACCAATTTGGACGTCCGCGGCTCGGATAGTCCCGCGAGGGAAGCCAAGGCAATGTCAGAAATGCCGCACCCAAGTGCAACACTTGGAGAAGCTGGGCATACTTTGTCTAAAGTAAGGTGCGGATGGTGAACGATAATGACCCGGGCATGAAGCCATGAAGGAATATGCCCAGGCGGAGAAGGAGGAGAGGCGCACGGCGGACACATTGGATCGTCGGGGGTGTGTGTTCCCAGTGCCAAGGGCGATCTACACAGATCCGTTGCAGACGCAAAATTGATCTGCTACTTGGCGGGCCATCAAACCCATCTGGGGGTGCAACGAGCATAGATTACTTGTGCGCTTGCCCAGACGGGAGAACATGTTATGGCCTCGTGACGATGGTGAAGTAGGCTCTTGGTATGTGATACAGGACCGGTCACGGAAACTCTCTCCACCAGGGGACCGACGCACCGGAGCCAAAGCGACACTTGAACTGGTCGCGCATCAAGGTCTCGCAGAGCTGGCGCCAGTCAAGCGATAGTTCCTGGGCGGTAACATCGATGGCTGGTGAAGGCAGGCGGACGCTCTTTAATTGGTCATCAAAAAGCACAAAGTGGGCTTGCTTGAGCAAACGGTTGCGTTCGGCGTCTGCGACAGCGCCGGGATGGAAGAAAACCTGAGTGAGGCGGCTCGTCAGGTCTACCGTCCCTGCATATGGCCGGCGCAAGGATGGCGTGTCGTTCACAGTTGCCGGTGAAGATAGTTTCAGAACAAGTCTGGCCTTGGAGCTAGCGGGGACAAAAGACGAGGGCTGGAAGCGAAACGACGGCAACTGCACGCGGAAGGTGTGATATGGGGATTGTGTATCACAGCGAAGATCAGGAGGACTGGCATGGTGAGTGAAAGTTTCCCGAGCAGCGCAGGGTGAAACGCGGCTTACAGCAAGTTCCATAGCGTCTGTCCAGCGAAGCGAAGACTGCAGGTACGCGAGACGATGCGCGCGAAGACATCTTGCGCGACATGAGCCAGAAAGGGAGATATCTGGCGCAGCACGAACCAGGCGAAACAGAGATCGTCTATATACATGATGATAATGTGCCATATCTCGACCGGTAAGTCTTCAGGCGACATGACACGCACATGGCGTTGCAATGCGCGTGACGGTCGCGGACCGACAGCGGTATTGGCGGTGGGGGTTGGCGATTCAGGGCTCGGGGCAGACATGGAGAGGTTGGTGTCGGCAGCGGCGACGGAGGGTGATATTTGTGGGTGCGATGATTATTCCCGCACTCGTTCTGGAGGCTGAGGCAATGCGGTGAGGCTCACTGGTGTACCGGCGAAGCATCGGCAGTCGCGCAGCCAAGGGAGGCGAGAGCGAGCCACAGGCAGGACGTCACGTGGCGCGCCGACGCGGCTTCCTCGTTGGGAAGGCCTTCCTCGGTCTGGAAAGAACTGGGGCGCGTTGGCGCATCCATGCCTGCAGCCTCACGACAGCCAAGTCATCTCGGTCGCGATCCAAATTCAACAGACAGGACCCTGCGCAACGTCGTGTGTGCGTAGCATCGCAACGGCGCCATGGGACGTGTGGAGTCGCAGATAGCATGTATTGTATGACCATAACATGGGGTGTAATTGGGAGCCGTTGGCCAGGCGACGCTGGGCGGCTGGGGGCCTCTGATTCGGCCGATATGGTCGGGTGGTGGACAGCTAAGGCTGATTCGAGGCAGGCCCCGAGACGCCCCTTAGCTGCTTGGCACGTGCTTAATCATGGAGTGCGGTCCTTTGTGCAGAAGCGGCGGCGGTCGATTACGCGGGGGGCAGAAAACAATTGCTTCATCTGGGCATGCTGGTCGCGCGCGCTGCATGGGGGGAGTCGGATATTATGGCGCGGCGGCTGCAGTTGAGGGAGTTGGGATAAGTGGCATATCTTGGTTCGTGGGTCTGGAAGGCCGCTAGAAGAAAATTGTGCAAATGCGAAAGTCGGAAAGTCGCGCAGGCAGCGTGGGGAGCAGTCTGGATACGCGGCTCTCTCGTACGGGGGGAAAATGCCTCGCACTCTGGCTGAGATCGCGCCAAGCACTCAAGCTTTCCTGCGTGTGAGTGCTGAAGCTTGGTGCGTCCGGAGTGAGCAAGGTGCGTGGAGGAGCTGTTTGCCGGTCGCTCTTGCCAAACGTCATGGGAGCTGATCCCTGCAGCGCTGCACGCTTGTCGCGGACTGTCGCGCTATCTCCAGCTTAATCTCTGCTGCCGCTGGTGGAGAAGCAATGAACCGCGCTGCGAATCGCGACGCCGGCTGCTGACATCCCAATTGCTGTCGGCTGGTGGCCGTCGAGGTACCAGAGTCTGCGCACACAGCAACCGCAGTCGCAGCCGTACAGCATCGTAGTAAGCACTCCGTCATCAGCGCATCACGCTCGGCCGGGCGCTGCGACGGCCAATCTCTGCGCCATGTCGCGCGCCGATGATGTAGCGGCTGGCGCACGGGCCGCTCACAACAAATTCACCCCCGGGACTCTCGGCTCGAGCTAAGCTCCATCCGCGGTTAGCTTTATGACAATCATAAATCCCTCATAGCGGCCAAAGGTCGGTCCTTGCTGAGTTTTTCCCTGGGTTGATACGTGGGTGAGTTTCTGCCGCGCTACTTAACCAGAGCCTCTCCCGCACCCTCTGCACTTTCTTCACAGAGAAGGCCCTGCTTGCAGTTACCCATTTGCACAGCACATTCGACCTGACACTCAACCTCACCGTCAAGTCGCCTCGGAAAGCCTTCTCTGTGCCTAGAGTTACCGGATATAATAATACATACGAGCAACAGCATTCCTTAATTCGACAAGATGGCGCCCAACGACGATGTTGAGCGCCCCCGCGCCTCCAGCGCCGCTGAGCGGCAAAAGTCCATCGTCTCCATGACCGAGTTCGAGGGCATGGACGAGTACACGGCGCTCCAGAAGTACATCCTCTTCTACCGCGACACCCGAACCAACCCGCACGCCGAGCAGACCCAGAAGAAGAAGGCCTGGTGGCAGTTCTGGAAGTCGGGTTCTCCCACCGCCGCCACTCCCATCCAGGACGCCGGCGCTGTCCCTGACGACTGTAAGTTTTACCACTCTCTCCCTCACAGCATCCGTTTGCAGCAATGCGCCGCGGCGCGTCACCTGCCTCGCCAATTCATCCTTTGTTGAGCTCGAGGGCCGACATCTGGTGGCTGGCGCGGGCCTGGTCCGCGCTCAAGCTGCTCCCTGCTAGCGACGCGATAGCGGCCTCCTCGGTGGAGCCAATCATGCAGACCGGCTCCACCAAACTACCCGCTTCTGCAGCATGCGAGATGAGCAACACGATGAGGAAACAAATTTGCTAACATCGCATCGCAGACCTCAACACTGAGCTCCGTACTGGTTTGACATCCGCCGATGTCGAGCAGCGTCGCAAGCGTTATGGCTTCAACGAAATCTCCTCCGAGAAGACCAACCTTCTCAAGCAATTCATCGGTTACTTCACTGGTCCCATTCTATACGGTAAGCATCCCTGCACAATTTGGCCTAGCGCAAAACTAACGCACGATAGTCATGGAGCTCGCTGCTCTTCTCGCCGCTGGTCTTCAGGATTGGGTCGATTTCGGTGTCATCTGCGGTATCCTGTTGCTCAACGCCATCGTCGGTTGGTACC